GTGAAATTTTTGTTAAGACTAAGAGTTAGTCCCACTAATCGTGGCGCTATGTTGTTTGCAGTCTGTACAGACCAACTGAAAAACACTATTATGATTTTTTTTTTTTTTTTTTTTTTCAATTGTTTTTTAGTTATGAGAAGACCTTTGCAATTTCATATGCTAGCGCTAGAGAAGAATGGATTTTGATACTGACAGATAAAATGGAGTGTTATTGGGTGTTATGGGGAGAAGGGGGTTTATCAGGGCATATTCTATATCTGAAATTTGAAGGGCTTGCTTCAATTAAAACATGGTTGAGAACTGGATATCTACAAATTGTAACCTCATTACAAGTCAAAATTTGAGGATTTATACATGGAGAAAAAGTGATTGATTGCCCTTTCAGGTCCTTAGTCCTTGCAGACATGATGATTAGTTTGACAAGTTCTTTATTCACCACTGTAAGAACAATTGGATTCCCAGATTGGGTTTTATATGTCAGATAGTTATAAATTAAGTTTCAAATGATGTTAATATGTCATAAGAACCAAAATACAATTTAAGCCTTTGTAATCATATTATAGAGGTAAGGATGTATTATAACCATAATTCATAAAGCAAAAGAAAGGGACTCAGTTGTTAGTCAAGTAAATTAGAACATGTGAACTGATTTCAAATGTCTAGTATCTTGAACATGCTATACAGGGTGATATTCTTGCAAAAAACACACAGATATAGGCTAAGATGATGCTTGCTCTTGCTTGTTCCTATGTTCTTTTGATGATTACCATATGCCAATTTCTGTGCTTTGCCCATTTTCTTTCCAGGTGTTCATCATATTAATCAAGCTTCAATTTGGTGGCTCTCAATCGGCATTGCTAGAAGTGATGGTGCCTTTCCACTTCATATTATTGATTCTTACAAGCTCACATTAAAGGTATGCGATGATCAACACTTAGGGAATCAATCTTGCAACAGAAATCCAACATTTTTGTAGGTTTGGCTTCTTAAGTCCAGAAGTTCAACCAGTTTGAGCTGTTATATGACTGATCATTTATGCTACCTGCATCAAAACCATACCATTTTTCGGGTAATACTAAGGAACCATCTGCATATTCATCCATGTTTCGAAGTTCTTGTGCTTCATGTCCTTCATGATCAATATCTTTAACATTTTCAATTTTTGAGCCAAGCGATCCCTTTTTCTCCAGTCCTACATGCAGGATACCTAGTTTTGCTTCAGCCTTGCTGTCTTCATCTCCATTTTCTAAACGACCATCTCTGCTGCTTCCTTCCAAATCCTTGCTGTTTTTATTTACATCTGGTTTTACCAGAAGTTCACTCAGCTTCTGCAACTGTTGAGCATTAAATAAGGGGTTTGAGGCCCAGTATGGTAGTAAAAATTGGTTACATGGAAAGCATTTTCATATGGTGAGAATAGAAGGATTACCTGTACAAGTAAGGACTGTTTCTCTTTCTTCAAGGACTCGAACCGTGATGCTAAGCTGTCATAATTAGCTCTCAGAATCCTGTATTCTTTCTCCATCTGTTTCGACTTCCATCTAGCTCTCTTGTTCTGAAACCATATAGCTACTTGGCGAGGCTGCAGCCCAAGCTCTCTTGCCACTTGCAGCTTCTTCCTTGGTTCAAGCTTTGTTTCTGATTCAAAAATAGATTCCAGTGACCTGATCTGCTCATCACTAAACCTCCTCTTGTTCTTCAGCTTGTTCTTCTTCTTCTTCCTTGGAGTTTGACTCAGCTGTGGACAGTTAAACTTTTCAGATTTTGCTTCCTGTGCTTCTGGACTGTCTTCTCTACACTCCATCGCTGAACTCTTCTTGAGCTTCTAAACTCCCTTTTACTACTTTCTACTTGATTACAGAAATTACTACTTTCTATTTGATTACAGAAATTACTACTTTCTATTTGATTACAGAAATTACTACTTTCTATTTGATTACAGAAAGAAGAGCTGGCCTCTTTCTTTGATTTTCTGTGGGATGGCATGTGGGATATATAGTGGTTATGAAGAAACTCTCTCTGATGGTTGCTTTCCAATGATTTAGACTGTTGAGTGATACATTCTTTTAACCAATGAGGAATGGTTTCGTGTGGCCTTCACCCTCCTGTTCCTTGTGGGCATCCTATGCTTCATTCCTTCCCTTTTGTAAACTATTATCCATCTAATGCTTGTTGTTATAGTCCTTTAAGTATAGCATTGAAATGTTAGAAATACACCAACTCATGCTTGTTAGTCATGCTAGAAAGCAACTAGAATCTGTTGCTTATATGAATAGAAACAAACAAAAAGATTTAACCCGGAAAATGTTTCATTTGGTTATCACCAATAAAACAGAGAAAACATTCATTCGTTCTAGGAGGTTGATCAATCTTGCTAAGTGTCAGCATTATTTTAGTATTATCTTTTTAACTGCTACAATTTACTTGTTGACTTAGCTGTACCTATGCAATTTGAATTGCGATTCCAACTTTTTTCAGAACTTTTGACATTTTTATCTATATTCTTTTCATTTGGATATATGTGGTTGTATTCTATTGATTTTTTTCTGTCCTACTTGACCCACTTTTAAAAGATCTAACTGCCCCTATATATCAAGGTTAGTTAAATTTGTCCTTATATTGAAGAATGATTATAGATTTTGGTCTACTTCTGGATATGCATGCATCTTTTGGATTATAAGTTTTATAATCCTCTTTTACCATCAGTTACTGACAAGTGAATTTATTATCTGTTTTCTAGGTTCTGGTTCGACTGAAAATGGAAGACTAGAGCTTGGAGTTGGATGTCTTTCTGATGTGGTGTTCCAGGATCTTATGGTATCTGAATCTACTTCTTAAGCAAACATTTTGAAAGAGAAAGATGGTAAAGTGACTGACCCATGGGGCTCCTGAAATGAGGTATTAATCTCTAGAGCAACATGTGCAGAATGAAAAAAGAGAGACGGCAATGACTAAGGTATCTATCTCAAGAACCACACGTACAGGCTAGGACTTTATTGCATTTTACTCGAGTTGACTCTTCTATATAACCGCATCAAATGTTCTTGTATATGAAGAAAATAGTTCACTTAACCATTGCAAAGGTTCAAAGTTCAAATCCCTAACCTCAAATCTAGAATCAAGGTTTTGAAGTTAGTGAGTGTATATATTTTGCTAAACTTTTGTTGGTTATGACCTCACTATTGCAACCATTGTAGTGTTTTTCAAGCTATCATTCATGAAAATACTAATGGATAATTAAATCCGTTCTCTTGTTTGAACTAAATATCAATTTTTTTGGGTATATCTTATGGATACTTTTTTTTTTTTAATTTTTTTTAAATCCTTTTTTTTTTTTTTTCAAATCCCTCCTCTTGATTTAAAATTTAAATATGAAATCTCTAATTTTGAATTGTAAGGTCTTAATCAATTAATCCGCCTCTTGAAGGCGGAAATTCAATGTCACTGGCATACCAATAACACTACTTATTGCATAATGCTTCCCGCGAAAAAGGAAAGATGTTTGCTAATCATGTTAGATATGAATATAATGCTTCTTGGTTGAGGTGTTCCATCCCAACTCCTCAGGACAAGATGAGGATCAATTGGGGCCGCCTAATCCAGCCAAAATCAATGTTCCTTGTCAAAGTTGCATAAAAGAAAAAAGGCTGCCAATAAAGACTAATGTCCGTTGGCCCAAAGTTGACAAAGGTTTATCTCATTCCACAAATTGGTGTCTATTAACTTTGATACCTGTACCATTGAGTGCTGAGCCATTCAATTTAACACGACTCCATTTTATTAGAGATATGGAATTAATTGCATTAAGTTAACAATTTTGTAACTTATGGTACAAGGTCTTAAATTTACTTAATTGGAGCTTTTCTTTTTCTTTTTCTTTTTTTTTTTTTGTGCATTTTAAAATTAATTTCTTTTCAAATTATCTTCAAAGGGCACCTTTATATTTAGGGATGATAGTTTTCTTCACACCTTGGACAGCAACTAGGATCCTCGTTGTAGGAATAGAAATTCATAGAATATTATTCCTTACAGGGCAAGGATGGAAGGGACTTTTCCTTTGCAAAATTTTATAAGGAATTTTCCTTACCTCACGAGTTTTTGTAGGATTCGTATAATAATAAAAAAATTATAAATTATATTTTTATAAATTAAAATAAACTCAAATATCCCAATTCCTAAACCTACAAACCCTAACCACAAACACTTTGACTCCTACATCTCTACTCTCTATTAACTTAGTTCCTCTCAACCTCAACCCTTTATTTAATGAGTTTCTCTTAATTTGCATTTAACTGTATTTTAGTTTAGTTTATTCATTATCTAGAAAAAAACATAAAAACTTAGAAATAACTAGTTTTTCTAAAATTCTTTTAGACTATTTGTTTGTTTGTTTTTTTTTTTTTTTTTCTAAGTTAGGAATTGAATGAATCTAAGTAATTTTTTGTAAACGGCAAAAAAAGAGAGTATTTTTTTATACTTTCATAGGGATTCTCCACACTAGTGGAGACCCCTCATTCCTTGTGGGGACAAGGATAGAGAGCATTTTTTTCCTTCTGTAAAAAATTCCCATAAGGATCCCTATACCCCAATGGTGAGGATACAGATGCAGAGGAGGTCCTAATCTCATGACTGTTGCTTTCTCTACTTACATTTGCCATTTTAGAAAATTAATTCCTTAATTGCTTTCCCTAAAACTTGAATCCTAAACCTAACCTACAAGATGAGATAAATTTTTGAATAGATCCAAATCTTAAGGGTAACTAGTGGTTGCTGTCCTGCTATGCAGGGGATTTTACTCTAAATTTATATTCATTAATTTGTTTATCTTTTGTTTTATGGAGGATTGAGCAATTTTTGATAAAATTTTCCTCATTTTTTGAAAGAAAGAGGGGTTCCACTTTTTTTTTTTTTGGTAAAAATGACAAGTTTCATTATTTAATATAAGTTCTATTAATTTATTAATTTGAAATTAAAAAAATAAAACAAGAAGATTAATTGTGAATTTAAATTAAAATTTTAATAAAGAAAAATTTGAATTTCAAACAAATGATGTAATTATAAAAGATTAAAATCAACTGATAAATAAAAGAGTTACCTAATATTAAAAAAAATTTAGTTATTTTTTAATTTTTGAGTCTTAATGCATTTTTGGCTTAATAACAACAAAATTTAACAAGGTATATGTTTTATTGATTTATTAATTTAAAATTTAGAAAGATAATATAATGAAACTAATTACAAATTTAAATTAAAAATTTAATAAGATGAAGTTTGATTTTTAAATAGATGACCTAATCTAAAAGATTTTTGTTATATAAGTTTTAAATTTGATTTAAATAAGATTTTACAATTTTGTTTATTTTGTAAATAAAATAATAATTTTAATTTGAATTTATCTAGTTTTCAGTTGTTGACTAATAATAAAAAGTAAATGGATATCATCATTCTACTTTAAAGAAGAAAATATTGAAATCTTCAAACAAAATCATAATTTGAAATTAAAATTTAAAAAATATTAAAATTAACTGATAAATAGCAGAATTATCTTAATATTAATAAAAATTTTATTTTTTTTTAATTTTAGCCTTAATGGTAGCGAAATTTACATGTTTTGCCTTCGTTTGCTTGTGCTTGATGGCTTTGATTTTCTGGAGTGTCGAAATCATACTTGGTTGGTGAAGTGTCGTCTTTGATGAAAAGATGTGTCCTCCAAGATGTTGAAATGTGCGTTTCCGATGAGCTTTCTCCTCCGTCAGAAATTCATTCTCTTTTTTTTTTTTTTTTTTTTTAACACTGATGAAGTCAGCTTCCAGTTCAATAAATTTATTAAAAATTTTATTTTTTATTTAAAATTAAAAGTAAAAAAAATTAAAAATATAATCATATTATTATTTTAAAAAATTAATTAAATTAATTATGTTTATATTATATTTTAATAATTATAATGTTGAGTGACTGTTTATGTAATTATAAAGTGTTCAAATTATTTTTCTTTTATTTATATTTATGGTCAAGGTGTTTAACTTTTAGATATCTAAAAATTAACTTTTTAAATTATTTTAAGAATACATCCCACGTCAGCTTGGTATATATAAAATACTAATTTTTTTAAATTTTTATCTTAAAATTTAAAATTAAAATTTAATTTATAAGATGACATTTATATCATAGAAAATCGCACCCTTTTGGTTTCTTAGAAGTTCTTCTCTTTTCCTCATTTCTGTAGACAAGCAAAGAAGATAGAAAGGGATTAGTTAAAAAGAATAGAGATTGAAAAGAAAGAAAATAGCAGAGAGCGGGGAAGACCCCATGGATGGGACCTTTTCATTGACAATTCTTAAAGGTTCGGTACAATTATCACTTTTCTTTTTCTTTCTTTTCATTGTAACAATCAATTTATAGAGAAGTTCTTCCTGTTTGCTTTATGTAGTTCCTTTTAATTTTAGTTAAAAACTTAAAAATGTCTCGAGACAGTTTTCTCCAGCAGGATCTTCTGTAAAAGCGGTATTCAAACAGAATTTTTATATCCAATTGTATGCTACAAGGGCTGAAGCTAGATAAAAGTAGTTTTTATATATATATATATATATTTTTTTATTTTTATTTTTTTAAAGTTATTTTTTAACTTCTAAAAAATTAAAAAGCTGAAAGTTAATTTAAACTGGCATTCCTTGGGAAGCAGATCTTTTACTTCTTTTTTTTTTTTTTTAGGAAGATCTTTTACTAGTTAAGCATTTGAATCCGATAGTTTTATTAATTTTGAAACTTTTTTTTTTATGATTGTTAGATATCTATAATTATCATTAAGTATTTTCTTAATATTCATTCAAATAAAATTTTTACAAAAATTACAGTTAGGCCAAACACATTACAAAAGTTTTATATCATAAAATCATATGTGCTCTATTTTGTTTAGTTGTTGCAAACAACCTATAGCAATTAACTAAATATCTAACAATGGATAGGATTTGAATTATAAAAAGTAACTATTAAATATCATATATCCATGTATTTTATTTTGAAAAAGAAAATAATTGAGAAACAATATTTTTGCATAACACTATTGGGTGGTGTTATTGCCACAGCTTCACAGGTTAACACCACAGCTTTTTTAATTAATTGACCATTAACCCACGCGGAGAAGGTGGTGACAGCTGCAAGTTGGATTCAAATGAGGGGTATAATAGTCAAATAATTAAAAAAAAGCTGTGGTATTAACCATAGTAGTAGCTGTGGCAATAGCACCACCCAATATTATTTATACAATCTTACATATCATTTAAGATTGACTCTTTTTTAGTCTACAAAGACTTATAATATTGCATGTAATAACTCATTTAATAGTACATAAAAGCCATATAAAAAAATTATTTATATATCAGTACTCTTTTGAAAATTGAAAAGTAACTTCAAAAATTAACCACTAAAACCTTTTTTTTTTTTTCAAATATAGTATGATTTGAATTCAAAATCTTTTGCTTTCATTAAAAAAAATAAATATTAACATTAGGTCAATTAGTGATTGGCCAAATCTCATTGTGCTCTTCTATAAGGAGTAATTACTTGAAGGGCTCATTTATTTTGAGGATTTGAAGAACGCTTCACCAAAAATATTGGGTTATGTCTCTCGTACTTTTAGAATGGTTTTAAAGAAAACTCAAAGATAAATATATTATTAAACAAGTGTC